ATACAGAAGAAAGTATCTCAGAAATATAATATGTTGAATCTGTTCCTTGCATAGTACACCTAAACCAAGGGTTGCCAACCTTTTGGACCTCAGGGACCACCAAACTCATAATTTTAAATCCCAGGGACCACTAACTGGTTCTGTGGGTGTGGCCTAATTTGTGGGTGTGGCTTGGTGGTCATGTGACTGGCTGGGTATGGCTTGTACATAAACATTATAAATATTTATATAAATATTGAATTTATTTAAAAAAGAGCAACTTTTACCCAAAATCAGGCAAAGCAGGCAGGCAGATTCAGTTGCTCACAGAATCACAGATTAATTCATAAATCTATCTATCTGCCATTGACTAGCTCAGTCTGTCACATAAAATTTGCTTGCAAGCAAACTCACAAAATTAACTCACAACACACCATGTATGTAAATATTGTTTTTTTTTTTTTTAAAAAAGAGCAACTTTTACCAAAATCAGGCAAAGCAGGCAAGGCAGATTGAGTTGCTTACAGAATCATTCAGTGATCTATCTATCTGCCATCGGCTAGCTCAGTCTCTCAAATTTGCTTGCTGTGAGTCTGCACTGAATAATAGAACCTTCAGTCCTAAGGGAGATTCGGCTGTGCTTAAAAGCAGAGCCGAAGATTTAAAGACTAGCTAGAAAGCAAGAAATTTCCGGCTTCCTAGCTAATCTAAATCTCCAGGCACAGCAGAACAGATGATGGTCGGTAAAAGGAAAAATAGCAATTTAACAGGCAAGTTTGCCGGGTAAGGAGTGAGTGGGCGGGGAGGATTCCCACGGGCCATGTGGGCGGTGCAGCCTTGTGTTTCTGCACAGTCTGGATTACTTGCTTTGCGGGGTGTGTGCTCTGGGGGTGGGATTTCTCTGCGGCCTACTAAAAATAATCTCATGGCCCACCAGTGGGCCGCGGCTTGCGACCGCTGATCTGAACTGTACATGTTGATAGATGGAAAGGTATTTCTACTGGGCTACAGCACATTGAAAAATAAGAAATCACAATACAGATTAAAAGATTTGGAAAATAAATATAAGGAATACAGCCACTCTTCTTTGAGTGGCTCTCTTGTTTTGTGATTGTTAGCAGATATAACAACAACAACAAGAATTGTAAGAATATTTGAAGGATAGTGAGGAAGATTCACTGAAGTTAATATACCAGAAACGCTCACGGAGTACTGGAGAGGCCAAACTGACCTACAAGAAAGACCATAGGAAGACCACAGGAAGACAAAGCATTACATGGCCAGTACATTAAAAAAATAGCAAGCAAAGCAGATAACAAGAAGACCTGATAACTGATAAAAGCAGGAAAGGTGAAAGACAGAGGGGCTAAATCTGGCTGTATGCAACCCTTAAGAACAAATGCATACACAGCCAGAATTAAGAAGACAGCAATTGAGAGCAGCAAGTGCTGCGGAAAGAAGCTGGATAAACACTGAACCACCTGATTAGGAATATTGCACAGACTGACTATAAACAACAGCATGACAAAGTAGCAACAAGATCTGCAAAAACTACCATTTTGCTGTTCCTTGTTCTCAACGAGAATTCTTTTTCTAGCTTACCCATTTTTCTGTACACTGCTCTATTTTTGCCTATTTTTCTCACATCCTGCATCTTTCTGAAAAACCAAAAAAGCAAGGGCAAAACAGCTTTGATGTTTCAACTGAGCTTCTAGCAGCACATGAGCCAAGCAAACATTTGCACAACAACATCCCTGTCCAGAATGTATTCAGACTATGCCAACTCCCTACCTAAGACTCTCAAACTGCAATCTTTGCTTTCTGAAAACTGTTAGCTATTAAAAATATACGCTGGAAAATAAACTGTCAAATGGACATTTTGTTGAAGTTAGGATTTAAAGCAGCTTTCCTCCATATTGGCTTCTCCTTAAAATCATTTAACTAATCAACCCAACACACAGGAAAGACACTAAGGAAAGTCTGAAAATATACATATAACCAGAGGGCAAATGTATTGAAATGTTTTAACCTCTCTTTATCAGACAAGCAAGTTTCAAATAAGAATAAATAATCAGAATTGGGTCATCAGAGCTCTCTATTCTCTCCAACTTGTGGGGCTATGGAATGTCTTGGACTTCAAATCTGAATAGCATTGTCAATGGCAAGACATGATAGCTGCTGACATCCACACTATCTATATGAGTTGCTTATTTGAGCTCTCAGTACCTTTTGAGTACTTCACATAACTAGCTCTAGCAGTTGTAGCTCCACTAGCATAAATCAAGGACTGTGCCAATCACTTTTCAGCATTCTGTTTCCATTATTTTTACTGTGACTGTAAAACTTACTCTAAACTTTATTCTTCAGGTTCCACATATATAAACTTGTCTACAAATTTCTTGATCCATAAAATCTTTTGGATTACTATCCCTGTAAGTCCCAACTTCCACAGCCTGTTTAGACTGGAATCCCACATAAACCTGTGGGATTGAAAATTTGGAGAGTTCCAAAGTGAAAAAGCTGTCTACTAACTATGTGTGTATTATTCCTAGAGTGATCTATGAAATTTGGTATCTATAATGCAGAAAAAAACCTCTTAGATCAATATCACTGTTAAACCAATGTGATTTCAAGGGAGTTGTAAATAATCACAAATAAAAACAAGAATTCTGATTACTACATAAGTGTTTCAGATGATGGTTGATGCCAGGCTTAGAGGTGGTGAGACAGAGGACAGGTTTATTTTCAAAAGGATCTCAAAATAAGAATTTAATAGCAATTTTGAATTCTGAATTATATTTGGAGAATGAGATGGTTCCCAAATTATGGCTTAACATTATTTAATACATAGGGTTTAGCAAGGAATAGGCAATCTTTTCCATTTGATGACTGGAGTTTTTTTTAAAGAAAATTAATTGGCTGTAGGGAAGGGCTAACATCACTGGAAGGTTTGGGCAGGAGAGCTGGGGTTTATTCAACTTTTAAATAGGTGAACTTTGCCTTTCAGACTTTTGAGCCTGTTTCCACCCTTATAGTATTTTAATGGAGATCTTTCATGTTAAAAAAAAAAATCACAGTACTAATGATCTGCCATTTTTTGATTGATGTTCGGTTATGTCATCTCAAACTAGATCCTGCAAATTGGGTCTATGAAGCACAAGGCTTATTGGCTACTCATTCTAAGCTTAGTTTGTCACGGGTGACAAATTCTTGGCGTCATGTTGCCATCACATGATGTTTTGTGATGTTTTTCTCCATTGCGCAGCTGGAGTGGGAGTGGCCTGTGCGTGATGCGGGCCACCAGTTTGACACCCCTGGTTTATGCAAAAACCAACTCCAAGTATGCTCTCATGGCTGTAGCTAAGCAAAGATCTATTCTAGCACTTTTCCCACAGTACAGCCAACGACCATTGAAAAGCTTACAGTGTTCTGAAAGAGGAAGAAGAGCATGTGTAACTTTTCTTGTATTTTGGATCATAGTTTCCATAGACTATAATTACTGGCCATTCTGAGTGATGTATATATTATTCCAAGTTGCCTAATTTCATGTTGCATTCAATAAAGGTTCCATGTAGCTTCCATAATTAAAACCACAGGCTAACTTCACAAATTTAGCGCTGTTTAAACGTACTGTACTCTGAGCTATAGAGAAGCAGTAGACTTAGAATTACATTTATCTATTAATTCAGTCTTAAATATGGCATGTCCAGTACTACAGGATATATTTTGAGGGACAAAACAGGGCAGGCAGTTAAAACATATTTTTCCAACATTTAGATTACAACTCCTAGAATTTTCAGCTAATATGAAGAAAATAGGGTGTCAGATTTGGATCAGTGTTATAGTTATGGCAAACTAGAAAAGAAAATTGAGTTTGTAATGGGGAGAATGCTTCACAGTTAATGTTGAAGTCCTGATTTAAATAACATTTTACTTATTCTTTTTATTATTAAACTGTACATTTTAACAAATCTATCTAAGCAAATTCTCACAGTCATTTTCTCTTGAGGTACACAAGCCAACTGGGATGGATTTCTGGGGTGGGGCTTTGCAGGATCTTTTGGTGTTTTACTATTTTTTAAATCTCTGGGCAAAGGCCTTTTGCTTTTAAGTAATAAATTTCTTAATTGTCTCCTTTGCTACAATTCCTTCCATACTTTCTTCTCATCTCGGATGCAATCCTTATCGCTTCCGAAGATTTACTTTCAGCTGCTGGTAGAATTACAGCCTTGTGTTTTTATTAGGATTTGTGTTTACTCTTAATGCTTGTTAGTTTGCATGTTGCTGTAAACTAGCCTGGAATTATGTGGCTCAGGAGAAGAATAAAATAAATTGTGGACAATTTAACAGTTTAATAACAACAGCAAAAAAGCACCCAAAGCACTTGTGTGAATAGAAAGAGAAAACTGAAGAGCCTCGTGAGAGGTGAACATACTGGATAATCAGAATATGGACTATAAAAGAAAGTTTTCGGTATCCATCAGCAAATTGAAAAAGCTAAGTCCCTAGAAGGAGGAAAATGCAGTGTGGGAAATCCTTTTTTTTAAAAAAAAACTACCTCATTTTTTTCATAAAGTTTGAAGGTCCTTTCCTCTTCCGTTCCCTATTCTGCAACTCGTTTTACAATGCGTTTGCCGGTTCTTTATTTGGACTATGGAAAAAAACCGGGAAAAAATTAAAACGCCTTTTCAGAATACAGAGTGATTCCCCCACCTGCTCGGAGAAGGGCGCCCGTCCGTTCTCTCCCCCCCCCGCTCCGTTTAGCAACGCTGGAAGGCTGCGAGCGGAAGGAGGGGACGGCAGAAAGAAAAAATGACTCCTATCTTTAGCGGCGAGAAAGGCGGCCCGGATAGGGCTGCATACTTTTCAAAAAATAAATGCAACCAGCAGACTCCACTTTGCAACTTGCATTTTCAGAGACAAAGCAGACGTCCGACAGAAAAGAAAAACTACTATCTTAAATGAAAAGCCTGTTTTTGTTTTTTTTGCGGCAGAGGAGTCAATATTGGCTGTATACTTACTGCGTCCAGCAACAAACGTTTTACTTGACTAAACGACCGACAGAGACCGCTTTATCTGCTTTTTCAAGCCAGGTTTGTTTCAGGCTTCGACTTTTCGCGCCGGCTGCGATCAAAACCTCTGTCTGAAGCACTTCCTTCTTCTCTGGGCATCCTACACGCCTGTTGCTTTTAGCTACGAGGGTAGCGTTACTACGATTTTTTTTTCTAGTTTACTCATTTCCTGGAGATGAGCTTTCTCTCTCTCTCCCTCCCCGAAAAACTCTCTCCACCCAGCAGAGGAAAAAAGCGGCGCAGTCCAACTTTCTGGAAAGTCCCAAGACCTTCTTAAGGTGGAAGGCGGTGTTTTAAACACCTCAGCGACAATTGCTAATTTTTTCAGACTTTGCTTCCCCCCCGCCCCCCCGGTTCGAATGCAGAGGAGAAAAGACTAACGGATTCTTAGCAAACACACTTTCCGAGTAGGACAGGACGTGGGGAAGGGTGGGGGAGGAAGAGAGCGGATGGTGGACGCCCTTAAATCTTGACGGTTGTGCAACACGCGAGGAAGCAGCAAAGCAGCAACTATCCGGAGTTTGGTCCTCGTGGGTTTCTCTAGTTGTGAAAACAGTCTGGGTAACCAAGCCTCCTGTATGCACATTTTCTTGTCCGGTTACGCTGCCAATATGTTTCTCTCTCTCCCCCCCCCCCCCCACACATCTGGCCTTACAGTTGCCTGTTGAGAACCCCGAGGATGCTATGTTGGTTGCAGACATGTTCAAATCCTTGGGGGAGGGGGAAGTCGAGAAAACAATAAAGAGCCCTGAGGATCAGCCCCAACCGTTTGTTCCCAGGATAACTAATCAAATAAATTGGGGCCAGGACCTTCAGGAGCACATTGTAATGATAATATTGAGGAAGAATGACCAATATTCATTTATAGCTTGAGCCTTCATGGTTTTATTTAGCTGCTTTAAAAGCTCTGCAAGTTGGCAAACAACCAAGCTCTCTGTGTCTGAAAGAACTCAGTCTATTTGTCCTGTTTCCTGCCTCCCCTGGAGCCCAACGGCATTCTGTGCCCATTGCAGTATATGCAGCCAAGCCATTATGTACCCTCTGTTAAAGTAATTTTCCTTAAAGATGCTCTGTGGTTTACAAACTTGGAATTCCTATGAACTCGGCAAGTTTTATGTCTTATTTATTTATTCATTAGATTTCTAGGTTGCCCGTCTCCAGAGTGGCTGCGCAGTTTAACTACTGCTAAGAAACAATACCATGCTATACTACCATGTAATATTATACTATATTACCATACTACTACCATTCTCTCCAAGGCTTTGGATCGGAACTCTTACCCTCTACCAACACCAACTGGAGCTGGCTATAGAGAAAAAGCTACTGCAACAACACTACAACCCATTCCCTGCAGTCAGTCCAGAAAAATATTATAATAAATAATATCAAAAAGCCACTGAGAGATCAAGGAGAGTCAGGAAGGTTGTATTACTCCCATCCTGGCCATTCCATAAGTCACAGATAAGCAAGAGCAAAGTATTTCAATACTGAATGCTGATGTGAATTCCAACTGAAAAGGGTCTGGATAATCCATTACTTCCAGGACTTGTAACTGATACCTTCTTATCAACTTTCTTCAAAAACAGGAGGTTGGAGACTGGATGAAAATGATCTATAATGGTTAGAATCAGTGATAGCCTTTTGAAAAAGAGACACACCGCCATCTCCTTCAAGGTCAACAGAGCCGCCCCCCCATTTAACCCCCAAGAGAGCAGATACTACCACATAAATCAAAACAAACCTGTTGGGCAGCCTTTATCAGTCAACAGGGACATAATCATGTGGCTGGGTTAGCAGTTCTGAAGATCTTGTGTACTACCTTAGGATTAACAGGATCACACTATTAGCCAATCAACCAAGATTATGCTTTTGCCAAGTCTGAATGAATCTGAGCAACTTTATTTACCAAATCTCTAGAATATTCTCCACCATGGTAGACTGTTCTACAATTCTCTCCAATAAGAAATAGGTGACCTGAAAAGAGACTGATGGGGCTTCCATTTTGTTGGCAATGTTTTACTTACATAAGGATCCCTTGTTCAGAGTTTTGCAATGGGGAAAACAAGCAAGCAAAACATATTACAAAACACTCCTGTGTCTTCCCAACATATAACTCTGTATATAGTATATCTGTATATAGGTGGATATTATCTGAATATCGCATATGACTGGGATGAATAACAAAACAAAAAAGACTCTTCAAATCTATTCTCTGAATCATGTTTTATAAACATATTTTTCAAAGCTGTTTTCTGTTGAAATCAGTGAAATGTCTCATTTCTGAATGTATATTTGTACTGTTATTGAGGAAAAGGTTATACTTGCAAACACAATAAGTTCAAAAGCTTAGTAAATGGGTGTGTGCATGCCAACAATTGATTTACCATTATATGGTACATTTTAGCAAAGCTTTTTGATTTACGACAAACTATTCCTAAAACTAAAATCTTATGGTATCTCTGAACACCTTCATAACTGGATAGAAGCATTCCTGTCAAACAGACAACAAATGGTCAAAATTGGGAGTGTCCTATCAAATTCTGTACCTGTCAACAGTAGTGTCCCCCAAGACAGTGTTCTAGGACCAACTCATATTCTACATAAATAACCTCTGTGATCATATTAAGAGCAACTGTGTTCTCTTTGCTGATGGTGTAAAGCTATTCAACACCACAGACAATACTGCTACCCTTCAAAAAGACCTTGACTATGTATCAGAATGGTCAAATGGGCAACTTCAAATCTCAACAAATAAATGCTCTGTCTTACAAATTGGCAACAAAAATCAGAAAATAAAATACAAGATGAACAGTCAAGACCTTGTTAATGATCCAAATTCTGTCAAGGGCCTTGGAGTACTCATCTCTAATGATCTAAGTGCTAGAGCCCACTACATAGCCAAAAAGGCATTAGGAGTTGTTAACCTAATCCTACGTAGCTTTTTCTCTGATAATATCACACTACTAACTAGAGCATACAAAACATTTGCTAAACCACTACTTGAATACTGCTCGTCAGTCTGGAACTCGCATTACGTATCTGATATTAACACAGTTGAGAAAGTCCAGAAATATTTCACAAGAAGAGTTCTCCACTCTACTCGTTGCAGAATACCTAATTGTTATGACTCCCCTTCGAAATTCAGCCGTTTCACAATTAAAAAGCAGCCGTTTCACAATTAAATCAAACGGAAAGAAGTCTTATTAGATAACGGCTGGCAGAAACCACAGCATAAATCTTACTCTGTCCGGCAAACCAGTCCTGGCAATAAATCCTCAGCCTCAGAGCTCTTTGCTGTAACGTCCTCACTCAAATAGTCATTTTGTTTCTGGCGAAATGCACCAGCCCAGCTGTGTCCTTTTATACTCATTAAGGCAACGTGCTAATTTACTGACTTGCTCTTCTCATTTGCTCCAGCTGATTTTGCCTTTTCAACCGTCTTCTATTTTTTACATTTAACCACAAATTTTCCAAGTTCTCATCTCCACTAGAAGACTCTCTCAAAACTTCCCTGTCAGCCATTCCCGGCTGTTCATCAGATAAAGAACCAGAGGAGATTAAAGGTCCTGACAATTCTAATACATCAGGTCTGTCGTCCTTTGTCACGTCCATCTCCTCATCCTGGTTATCAGTCCAATCAGTAAGCCAGGCTGGTTCAAATTGTTCTGACGTAACCTCTTCACTTGAACTCATATCAATCACAGGAGCTGAATCCAAGCCCGGAGCCACAACACCTTATACTACCAGTATTATTCTAGACCTAGAAAACCTAGAACTATGCCACCTTCGGTCTGATTTAAATATAGTATATAAAATTATATATTGCAAGTCCTACCTGTCAATGAATACTTCAGCTTCAACCATAACAATACAAGAGCACATAATAGATACAAACTCAAGGTAAATCGCACCAAACTTGATTGCAGGAAATATGTATCCACTTCATGTATTCATAACTATGTTTATACTTATACCTGTTATCTTATAATTGCTTGACAAAATAAATAAAATAAATAAAAATCCAAATTCAAAAGAATGACTATTTTTAGTAACAGAAGCATAGGAAGCTAAAATGTTTGGGCTGAGTGCAGTATATGAGTGAATATGTGTGCAAAACCTTTAATTAACTTATTCCACCTTGTTGGAAGGAAATTCGTCTGGTTCAGGTCCAAGCCTGGAATAAAATAAAATGGAGGCTGATTGGAAAGAAAGTTTAATGATGAACAAAACCACACACAAAGACATCGTGCAGTTCTGGCTCAGCTGGACAATAGCAAGACGAGTTCGAGGATTTTTATACAGGTCCTGAAGTGCTTCTGTGTGTGTGTTGTGCATTGAAGGGGCTTGTGCTCTGAAAGGGTGTCGGGCAATTCTTATTGTGGTTAATGACTTTCGTCTTGTGATGGATCTTGGGTGAGGACAGTTTAGCTGCCATTTTGGGGAGAGATTTGTATGGCTATATTTAAGGGATTTGGAGATTACATAAGAGCTCTGTTTTGAAATACACCCCATAGATAAACTTTTATTTACAAGCAAAGATCAAACACTAATTTCCAACATTGTAAAGTGATTTCTCATGGATGGGAAGTCCTACCTCAGATTGCAGATTTCTGCCTTTCTATAGCCAGGAGGTACTGAGACTTATGGCCATTTCCCCCTGCCCCAATCCCTCCCATCTGTTCCAAGGATGGCAATATCACCCTTCCCAGTCAATGTTGATTGCCTAACCTTCTGTATTTTTACTCACTAGAAAGAGAAAAGGCAGTGAAGATGGAACAAGGAAGGGGACAACAGAGTAATAGTTACATGTGGTTTTTAATATTCTCTTGTTGGCTATTGAAGAATATTGGTCAGAAGAAGATGGAGAAGCTGAGGATAATCACTAGCTGCAGCATTAAAATGTTCCTTGTAATGGCTGGGCTTTGGAAGAAGATCTCAACTATTTCAGTGTGTTCATTTTCTTATAGTAAAAGCTCTGCTTGGCTTCAACAATATTTATGTATGTATTCAGTTCCTAGGGCTATCTGTTTCAAACAAGTGACTCTGGGCTACTAACAACAATAATAAAGTACCTAGCCCAAACAATAAAACAAAATAAACACTTGACAGCCCAGAAGAAAACAACAACAAACCAACTATTAGTATGAATATAACCTGAACATTTCAATACAACTAATTTTCAGGTTCCAATTGACACTTCAGCTCCAAACCTACGAGCCAGATATATGCAGTATATCACTCTATTTGAAAATTGTATGAACATTTATTTCTTCACTAAAGCCCAAGCTTTCTGCCCCTTTTCACTAATTGTTGTCCTAGAAAGAACCTTTTACAAAGCCAGCATTTTTGCTGCCTGAACCTCTC